AGGATAATTATTTTCTATCCTACAAATAATCAAGCTACTTTACCAAACATATGCCAATACTTGCCAGGATGCAAGGGCATAGAGATTAACCTCAACTCAATTAAGACTGGGACTTCTCTGAAAATCCATCATCTTTCAAGATCACAGAACACGAGAGAGCGAGCGAGCACAAAGTAAGCTGCCAGCTCTGAAGATCTATGATCCTACTGCTGTTGCACTTTTGTGACACCATAACTGATGGTACAAACTTTGCGTGTTCCACCTATACATTGCCAATCCCATTACTCTTAGCAGCATGCTAAAGACACCCCCCCCCAAGATACTTCATAACTGGATTTTGCTTCCTGAAATTCAGTTCTGCCTTTCACTATATTCAATAGTTATATTTATTAACTTTTTTTCTTTCATGGGAAAAAAAGTGTTAGAATACCATGCTTGGGACCTGCTAGAAGAAAGAGTGCTTGAAATATCAAAACCAAATAACTTTGGTGCCGGCTGTACCATGTTCCCTGGTGTATCAAGAAATGCTACAATTAAATTCAACTAATTAGATTTTTTTAATCCTTTAAAAAGATAACATATTCCATTCAAAATGAAAGCCAAGAGACTCCTCTGGGTCTCATAACATTAAAACAAGTTCCTATTCTGTCAGCTAAGCATTCCACAGAAGTTGTTGGAGGGGGTTGTTAAAAAAGTTTTCAAAAAAAGTTGAACTAGCAGAACATCAAGTCCTAAAGAAGTAATAACTCTGATTCTCTGCATCCAATTCCTCTCTTCCAGGAAAGCAACATTCTATGAATTTTCACGCCTATTAATTTGCAATCAGAAATGTTAAATCAAGAATTGCATTTAACAGTAAGGGAGAAAGATCTGCTTTATAAGGAACTTTTCACTGCACAACAAGCTTATCTGATGGAAGAATATATTTGGTCTGCAAGAACCATGGGCCCTGTTATCTTGTCACATCAATATCTAGCTATTATCCCTCCTGTCCAAAAGGTAAAACTCAGAATGCGCACAGGGGAAAGGGCTCTGCTGGGATTTACAGCCCATTTAATTTCCACTAAGCCCCTGGTTCTCTAATTAGGTAACTCAAATCAAAACAGTGTCAAAAATACTTAAAATATAGACTTCATGTTTTTTATGTAAGTGGTACTGAAAGAATGGCTATACACAGGTATCACAATGGCTATTAAAAACTAAGTATCACTGCTGATGAAGAACAGGAAACATCATGTTTCATGAATGCATTCACATTACCATACAGTATTCCACACCTTTTTCCTAACAGACTGTAAACTGTAAGAGAAGCACTTTAATCTAGACCATGCATTTAAAGTAGACAGAAAATTAGAAGAGTCATTATTTAGAAGTTTACTAAAATCTGCTTCCATTTGAAAGACTTCCAAATTAGACAAAGAGACAAGATCACATAACTGAAGGTTTTCAGAACATTTTTCCTGCACTTTTTCATTACAAGAGAGGCTTTTTTCTGCCACCCACCTCCCCTTAACCTTGTTTCCTCTTTTAGCTTCAGTTCTGAAATATTAACAACAATCTTTCGGTCACAGTCTGAAGTGTAAGAGACAACCTAAATCTAAAGGCTTACACACAGCACAGCTGTTAGCTGATGTTGGGAGCTATCTTTTGTCCCTATAAACATAAGCCACAAATGCTATGTCTGCCAATTTCACTGCTGACAGTGGGAAGGAAAACAAGAACAAGACTATTCAGGTAGTCTTCACTGATAGTTGACCAGCTGTTTGCCATCAGCTAAAATCTTTTATTGCACATGATTCATCCTCCTACTCTACCAGAAATGCAGGAACTTTCCAACAGTTTCACAGGGCTCAATGTTTCACTTCCATCATATTTCTTAACAGAAGACATGCGATCTTTCAGAAGACTTAGCAGCAATCAATGCCCAGAGTAAACTAGTCACACAGACTTGTACAGGATAAGTTGAAAACAGTAGTAATACAGTTGACTTACAAACAGAGTTAAGTGTATAAAGAAAAGAATCTGGAAAAGACTGTATCAAAATCTTTTCCTCGTGCTCTGTACAGAATGCAGAATTATTTCTGTATTGCCCAAAAGCTGATCTGAATCCAGAACAACTTACTGACAGGAAACAAATAAATAAATAAAAAACCCCAAACACATGAACTGTAGTCTACACAGAGATAAAACACCTTTATATCTTTATATTAAGAGCTGAATTAAATGTTTTAGATCGATTTCACCCAAACTAACATCCCCACATTTATGGTTTATAAATGTTTCTCCTCAGCTTCCCAGTGCACATCAACATTGCACAGTTTCAACAGTGAAACTCCACTAGCTATTTCCTCATTTTCCTACCTTTGCACAACATAATACACAAACAACCAACTTAATATATTTTAACATAAAAAGTTTCTTTCTCATCTATGTCAAAACCCATCTCCCCTCCAAATCATGTAGGTTTGAGCCAAACATAAAAGATACTTGTCTCTATTCTTGAAACTCTGCATTTCCAAAAAGAACGAGTGTTCCCAAAATGAAGTATGAATAAGAGGATGGATTTGAAGGAACATTTTACATGCCGTGAAAGAAAATCTGTAAAGATACATTTTAAATGTACCTGAGCTCCATTCCCTGCACCATTGTATTTATTAGCAACTACACATTGATACAAATAAATTCACCTGCAACCTCACGAATTAAAGCAGATATTAATGGTAATTCTCAAAATAAGTTTTTCAGTTTTAGTGGATATAATATAAAGGAAATAGCAAGGCCACAATTCATTTTTTGAGCATTGTTAAAAACTGTAATAATCTGCTGACTTGTGAAAAAAATATTGCTCTGAAAAAGCCCCAGGAGCTTCTTCTCAAGCAGCACATTGACAGCAGATGGCCAGCATCAACTCTGCAGTTACCAGTCTGGCCTGGCAGCCTCACAGATGACAATGATACTCTTTTCTTTTTGTGGATGTGGGGAGGGGGCAGCTTGAGAGATGCAGACAACTAGGTATCATAGGCAACAACCCCTTCCACTAAAAACATATGTATGTATACAATCAATTTCCAAGCCTGTCACATGCTTCTTCCATTAACTTTCATTTCAATTAGGTTTCCCTCCTTTATTTTTAACACTGAAAAAACTTTTAAGTAGTAGAAAAGACAAACAACGTGGCAGGAAATGGATAACATAAAGGATACAGTAGAACAGACCATTGTCAAGCATTGCCAGAGACAAACTTCACGAACTACCTGTTGTGGCAACTTTCCCCCTCTTTGTTTCACTCTCCCCTCAGCACAGTCTTCCCCCACCTGGCCCTGAACAGATATTCTCTTGCCTAAAGAGGTGAACAGAACATCTGATGAGGAGCTGCTGTTTCATTTCCTCTCCTTCATCCCACCCCTCAAATGGGGAAGCCCTCAAAACAGAGGAGGGGAGGGCATGTTTTTAATCCAAATGCTGCATCTTAAAATATTATTGTGCAACATTTGGCTGAGATTGATTGTAAAGCTATATATATACATAGCATTAGAGTGCTTTATTCCCCCTACATCTCCTGGGAGGAAAAAAAACAACCAATGAGGCTTCTGCATTAATAGCCATTTACTATTTCAGTTTTACATCCAAGAATTTGAATATCTGAGTAAAACCTTTATTTTGCCAAAGCCAATAACTGTTTAGAAATGAAAATAATAATGGCCAGTCTTTGCGAACGAAGATTTGGGGAAAGGTGTTTTACCTTTCCAGCCTGCGCAATGGATTTTTTTAGGTGAGACACAGCATGCGCTGAACTGAGCCCACCCTTTAATCCTAAGGTTCATCTGTTGGGGCCAAGCGAGCTTGGACAATGGCAGTGAGGTCCTCAGGACGTAGGTTTGTTTAGAGTGACCTTCTCATAGATGGATGGCCTCACAGGCCTAACGAGCTCCATCTGCCCGGGGGACTGGGATTCGAACCTGGGTCGCAGCAGTGAGAGTCCTGCATGCTAACCACTAGGCCACCAGGGGTCCCCCAGAAATGAAAATAAGCAGAAAGCAAACTATGAGTTCCCTTCCGACCAACAGATGCAACACAAAGAGGGTGGAAAGGATCTTCTCATGAGCAAAGAACCTGATATACTTAACTGAGGCATTTGGACCTCTCCTCAGGAATGCTCAGTCCCTCACAGAGACTTCTGTCTTACATTGATTCAGCATTCCTTACCTCATTTCTTGTAATTCTTCCTATTCTTCCTCATTTCAGCTACCCCTTTTGAAAAATTTATCACACACAGAAAGATAAGATGCTGGAGAAAAGTATATCACAGTCCTGCTGTCGTTATCTGTCTTGAAAATCTTACTGGGAAATAAGGCTATTCAAGAAGAAAACCTCAAGTCTTCTTATGGCCTAATTTCTGTCTCATTCAGGCTTAATTCCAGTTACACATTGAATAGGGAGGGTGTCAATGTAATGGAGATGCTGCCACCTTAGAGGCTGCACCCCTCCCTAACAAGAACACGCTGGGTAATCATGACTTAATCCAAACTAAGTTTTAACAGTCCTTAGATATTGTTATTCTTCTCAAAGATCTTGGACTATGTGTCAAATGCCATGCAATGAAATGTAAATTACTTATCACCAGAAGGCAGAGATGATAACACAACACACCCCATTTTCCTCCCAGCCCCAATGAGAAGCTTTCTTTGCTGACACACACAGTGTGACACACACAATGAATACCAGAAAGTACAGGACATTACTTCCCTGTATAAATCTGGCACTTCTTGTTACTGCAATTATCAAAAGATGTACCAGCTTTGTGGCAGAGATGCAAGTTAATGCACACAACTCATGCAGAACTAAATTAATCAAACCTCATCAAAACAATTACTTGGTCCAGCAAGGAAAAAAAAACTGCATGCGCTCAGTAGCTTTGATTCTTTTGGGAAACACACCTTTAAAACATTTTGGATTGTTTCTCTCTCAGTAACATCCAAAACTTAAGAGTGTCAACTCACCTTCCACACTATCAGAACAGGAGGTACCAATCCCAGTGTCCCCGCTGTCAGAAGCTATGCTGTGTCTTCTGACAGGATTGCTTTGACTGCTTGATGAAATCGTTGTGCTCTGCCACAGGGATTCAGTACCAGGTAACCATCCCACTGAGGAATAATCTGAGCCTATAAAAAAAAGAAGCCAGAATTCTGTCATTACAAACACAGTACAGAAGGCAACAATAAAATATCTGTCAAGATGAAAACTGAATCCTCGTTTCATAGTTCGAGTCAGACTGTGCCTATGTCTTGGGATATTATTTTTTTTAAATTAAAATCCTTTTGCTAGGTGAAACCTTCCCAAAAGTTCCAATACATATATTTTTACTATTTAAAAACATGATCCTTATACTATTATTGCACAAACATTAACAAAACAACTATCACATGATTCCTATCCTAGAACTGATTCTCAATTCACAGCAGATTTTTGCATTGCATGCCTTCAAATACAAAGAGATGAACAAATGTTAGGCCAGAAACCAGCTGAAGATTTGGCCAGTGAGATACAGTCATTTCCAACTGTGCATAAACCCCACAACCTAGGTGATAAAATAAAGCCAGCAGTGAAATCGTCAACACCGATACGTAAAGTAATTCATTACGTTTCTCTGTTATCAGTAGTTTTCAGTGGTCAAGACAGACTACAAACTGAAGAAGGCACATCGTAGCTGCACACAAGCTGTGTTTGTCAGACATCTATCCATCTTGCAGTTTGCTTCATTTTGGTTATCTTTTTAATTCAAATAATCATTAAAATATTACATATTAAAACACAATTCAGAGCAGCAAACTGTTCCTCTGCTCAAGGAGTCTTTAAAGTAGGCCACATATTCTCATAGTCAACCTCAAGAGAATATATATCACAGAGTACAATCCCAGACAACCATTACAATTTCCAATAGCCAATATCTAAATCTGAGAATTGTTTATAGGCAGACTACTGATCACCACACTCACACTCTGAACCAACAGAGGTACATAAAGAACCTCGGAAAAAAGCATGGCTGCACTTCATCTATACGTAATCACATACATACAGCCCCTCTAGCAGTTAGCTTTGTGCAGCACTTTCAGCAGGAAATGACTCATGAAGAAGTATCAGTTCACATACAATGTCTCTTATGCTACATGCGGTTATTTTTAGGTCATTCAAACATTTTCAGCAGTGTCCATCCAAAGTCATAACATCAATTTAACTCTGCAATGATATCTGCAGATCATTGCTAATTCCAGCTGTACTCGTTTTCCAGAATATTAAGTAGTTTGGAAAAGGATATAAAAATGAATATGTGTGTGTGTGTATATATATATATATCCCCGCCCCCACATATATGAATACACGCATACTCCCCATATAGCAGCCAGATCACTAGACCTACTAGCCAGAGTGCTAACAGCTGCTTGCCAAGTCACTTGTAAATTGAGGAACACACTAAATACCTACTTACACAGTCAATTCCTTACTGCGTGTGCTATTTAACTGTAAGATAACATCTAAAACAGTCTACTTTCTGTAAGTAGGTTCTTGAAGGTCTTAAATATGCCTGTCTATCTGATTTGCCTCAACTTTGTTCTCCATTGAGGTTACGGCCTCTTCTTCCCTTTAACACATTTTCCTATCTTTTCTCCTGGTATTCAAAATCACTCAGTTTTCCTCCCACATCATTCCACTTTAGCAATATCCTATGTAATGTATTTCCTTCTCTTTCTTAAACTTAGTTTTTCCTCTCCAAAAGTCTCAACTATTCCATTGAGTATCTTTCAAGACCAGAGGAGCCACACATGAACACACTTGCCTGTGGCTCACCAGTCACACCCTCTAAAGAGGCACCAGCCAAGATTCCAAGGGAACACCATTCCAGGTGTCATTCTTCATACCATCCTCTCTGTGTCATCACCTAATGTACTGAAGTTTTGCACACAGCTACTGGGAAACTGGGACATTTCTGCTTCTCCTACCATCCAGCACATTTTTCACTAAATACTCTGGCTGCTTTGGGAACAATAATTTTTCCCTCTTAATAGGGCTACTTTCCACAAGAGTTCCACTTCATACATCTCAAGCTGCATCTAGCTATTCCAGCAAGAGTAATGTTGACTTAAGGGAGGCCCAGCTAATTAAATCAGAGACAGTTCTGATTTAGGAGACATTTCAAATACATTTATAGAAGAGAAATTTAGATTGATTTACCCTTTATCATGCTGTTTTCCACTATGTAACACTTCGGTGACATTTCAGCTTTTACGGCATTAAACAAGCATTAAAAGAAATGCAGCAGATAATGCTACCACTACTGCATGTTAAATTAACACAGTATTAAGTGTCAAACCCTTTAGATTTCTTGGCTAGACAAATACTCAGTATGTGAACCTATAACCATCCATATGCAAACCCCCAAAGGGGAGAGATACTTTTCACTCTGGTGGAACTTTGAGAAATAAGAGCTAAAAATACCACAGAACCAGAGTAACTTGCGAAAGGACATTCAGAAGTCACCTACTCTAACCCCCAGCTCAAAGCAAGGCTAATGAGATCAGACTGCTCCAAGGTCCCATACAGCTGAGTCCTGAACACCTCCAAGGACACAGATTCCAACACCCTTTCCGGGCAGCTTGTTCCAGCATTCAACCACATCTCAAGAGTCTCTCACATTCCAAACATTGGTGCAATATATCCTGAAAAATGCAATAACACAGTGCAACTAGACTTAACAAAAAGGGTTAACATACTAGAGGGGGCAGACAGTCATCCTCATTGGGGTCTCTACAGGCACTGTAAGCTGAGAAAATAATAGGTGCTACAATTTTAGAAAATAATAGGCACTACAAATAGATTACCCTGCTCTAGTCTATTCTCAGTTTTACATCTACACAGTCTTGGGACACACCAAGCCCCCAGTGTGGTGCTGAACACAAGTCCAGGAGGACACACTGGCACAACACAGAATTAATGCAATGCCTTCTTGAGCACTTTTGCACCCAAGGGAAGTTCAGCATCACTAACTTAACTCGTGAAGCCTGATCGTTGAGCTTGCAGGCCTGAATAACTAAGTACTGGAACACATCCATAGCTACCGAGAGATCAGCATGAGGCCAGCAAGAGTTTATTGGCTTTGGCTCAGCACAGACCAGCCAGATCCCATCTGGCTTTCCAGGAAAAATACTCAAGTCTATCTGCACGGTGCCCTGGGCTCCAGAAGGGTCTCTTCACTCAGGCACTCCTTCTCACTACCCACTGGATGCATAGCTGGCAGGAAAGTGCCCACAGTGCTGTCATTAGGATAATGCCTTCCCCTTACAGCCAACCTGTACACAGAGATATGGACAGTGGCTGGCATGGGGTGGAACACATTCATTTTCTCCCTGGGCTTCTACTGCTCAGAAGCAACCTCTACATTTACAAGGGGTATGTCCCAAGAAAGACAATTATTTTAGATTTTTAGTACGTAAACTGTATGTGCATTTTAACCTATTTTAGGCATGTCAACAGAACATGGTTGCCCATGATCACTTCCAAGAAATGCTTTTTCTTTGCCTCCCTGACATTAAACATGCTCTGTTTTTTCTAAAAAGATAGCTAATGACGTATTCCAAGAGTCTACACTTTTTAATATTTCATGGCATATCTGCATCACTGTTTTACTTTGCTGAACTAATGATGACTCTACTCCATAGAAGGCCATTACAAAAATACAAGTGTCTACATGAAAGAAAGCTTTTCAAAGCTGATTGGACCCACTACCATAAATAAATACAAGCAACAAGATAGTAGGAACAGACTCAATAATTAAGTCTCAACAGTAAGTAACCCATAAAATAGGATCTTATAGAACTCATTAGTCCAAGACATTATTTAAAAATTAATTTATTACTTTATTTGAAACTAACTTTCCGAGCCAAGTCATGAGGAATCACCAACAGGTATGCACCCTGTTCTATGGTCCCCATCTCCTTTTTGAACAGCTCTCTGCAAATAAATGATCTTTCACACAGAAAACAGCCTACACTAGAAGACCAAGTATAAAAGAGGATGATACACAGGAGTCCCCACACTGCTCAGTTAGCACACCTGCCTTACCCTGCTGCTCTAATCTCAAGTCTGCCAATCAACAGCTAGTGTCCCTCTGCCCAAAATACAGTGGGATAAGAAAAGCAAGCAAAAACTTCTAAGAGATATTTGTGCTGCTCAAATATATATATTCCCAACTGACTATGATGATTCTTTACCAGGCTAGAAAAATCTACCTTTCATAGGATTTGCTAGAAGAGAAAGAAGAGTAGTGTCATCCTACCCAGCTGTAATTTCCATCAACAAACATGACAAAATACACACGAGATTCCAAACAAATCTCAGAAGGAGCCTTGTTTATACACAAAGTTGACTACCTCCTTAAATTTGGCCAGCTAAATATACCGACATAGTCCTGTGTTTCCAGACTAGACATTTAAAACAGATCCATTTACAACTAAGTATATTAAGTGCAGGAAGTAGATTATTTATTAAGAGAGAACAGTTGTTGAAATTTCACTCCACAAAAACATGTATCTTTTTCTGTGTGTTACAGAATGCTGTCAGCTACTGCTGGCAGAAAGTCTCCTAGTTAATTCTGGATCATTACCACTCTTAATTTCAGTGGCATGCACAGTTCCCATTTGATATACATACACAAAATAATCACACCACCATCTTAATATCTATTTTCTAAAATACCTCAAAAATGCTTGAATGTAAAGATTATTATTTTTAAGTGACAGCTATGATACTATTATTTTACCTAGACACTGAATGGAAAGCAACAGTCCAAGACTTAACTGGGTTTCACAGCAGATACATTCTAACTTAAGGATACTGATTTTTCTATTCCACACCATGACTGACATAGATTGTGACCAGAAGTGAATCACCCGTGACAGCCACTGTAAATTTATACAGTCAAAGGATTCTGAAGGAGATATCTCACTACAGTACTATCAAAACTGACAAATAAGCAAAGCTCCATTCTAGTCATCATGGATGTGACCAGGCTGTACAATAGTGTTTCATGCCAGGATGGCACTGAAGCCTGCCTGAAGCTCTTCCATGGAAAGAGAGTCAGCATTCAGCCCAAAGACACTGCCAAAGT